GGAAAATTAAAAAAAATGCACTGCCGTTTACAATGTTCGATTACATTCCTGCCCAACAATAACAAGATTTGGGCATTCAGAAATCCCGTTTTACAATCTATTTTGCTCATTTTCGTCTGCGCCCAAAATCACTTTTTGTTTTGACCTAAAAACATGAGAAATGCCCTCAGGCAATTTCCGATTTTCCCTGAACTTTTTTATCGTCAAAAATTCTTTTAATGGATAGCCATGTTGATGTGCTTGAATTTATTTTTTGACAACCCAAATCACACAAAGTATTATTCCCCGAGGCATTTTGCGGAGAGCGCGAAAACAGGGGATTTGAACCGAAGAAAATTTTTTTTTCGGGGGCCGTTCCGTTCGCAGTGAATTTTTGAGGATTTTGAGTGGGTCTCATTGGGATCGGAAGGGAAAAAAATTTATGTGAAAGTCTTTGGAATTGTCATGCAGAAATGGGATGTGTAACTCGCTTTTTTTGAGCTATTTGGTCAGATAGTTTTTAGAATGACTTTGAAAATTTTTTCATTTTTTGGAGTTTTTGGCTTCAAATAAATTTTGGTCAAATTTGAAGTACAGTATTAAAATTGTCTTGAAATTTGACTCATATATCATAGCTAGGCCACAAATCAGTCTCTCAAAATTTTAGCCCATACTTTGCAAGGATCGCCGAGATATTCAACGATCTCTGCTGATGAGAGAACGCGGAAAATGAGGAGGACTTGGCTGAAGAAAGTTTTTAGCCAGATCTTTTAGGGATTTGCATTGAAAAAAATTTAATTCTTGGGGGCGTTTCTTTCCAGTCTGTCGGGAAAATAATGTGGATTTGTCGCGCTTGGGACACGCCCATTATCGCTTCGCTATGGCTAGCCGGAGATTTAGTGCACGATTGTGGCTGGGCGAGGCGTTTTGCCGCGACAAATCTACTTCAATTTTCCGACAGACCGTATTTCTTCTTGGCGCTACAATTTTTTGGCGTCAGCGACAGTTCAGGTCAACGATATTAGAGCGAGGAGAAGGCTTGGTTAGTAGAAATAATAAGATTGGTATGGTTGGTTCTAGGATAGCTTGTCACCTTTTTTGAGGTATTTTACATGTACTCTCTTCAATAATATCTAGATAAAAGTTATGGATCTTCGTTTTTTGCCGCAAATTTTGATCTTTTATATGTTACAGTAGCTCAGGGTCAAGAAAACTAACGTTAGTTATAGCTAGAATTAGAAAAAGTGGGCATATTGCAAGTCTCCGCCGAGCCTTCGCCAAACGTCCGCCGAGCATCCAGCGGCTTTGCTAGGCTTCGTAGGCACTTCCCATAACTTTTTCTTGGGTATTGACCTGCCATATCGATCGATCCCAAATAGTATCGATCGATTTTGTTCCGATCCGAAATGTCATTGACTCGAAAAGGACGCGCTCCGATATTGTGCAGTGGCGGACCTGATCCAGTAGCAAAACACGTATCATTTTGCATCCGGGAAGTATCAAAAAATGTAGCAAATGCTCTCCAACTAAAAAAACTCCGGTTTGAAGGTCCCTCACAAAAAGGTTACGTGAAAAAGCATGTTTGACTTTGAAGGGTCATAACTCGACGTAGGATTGATAATTTTTAATGATCTTTTTTTTCGACAAAATGGCAACTACTAAGGAATAAAATGAGCTATTGGTCATAAAAATTGAACAATCCTATAAAAAGTTATAAGCATTTTACATCCGCGAACTTAGCTGAACCACCCTGTACGTGTTTTTTCACTTGGAATGGGAGGCATTTTGCTGTATTTTTCGATACAAAATGGCACGTTTTGTGCCACAGGATCAGGTCCGCCTCTGTACGAAATGCCCACCTTCTTCACCGAAAACTGAAATACGGGGAAGTTGCGGACTTAAAATCTCCGTAATTCCAGCAAAGTATGTTCTAAAAATCCCCGATATTGGCAAATTTTCACTTTAATTTATCCAAATTCAACCAAAATTTTTGCCACAAAAACTTATTTTGAGATCCTCACCATACAAGAAAAAAATTCATTTGTCTACAGCCTTGTTTCGATTTCTATACATTCCTCATTTTCTCCGTAAATTTTTTTAACCGTTTCCCACCCGCATTTCTCAAGGGAGCGATTTGAAATATCGCCGGTCTTTGCCCACTTTAGCCACGTCTTTTTTGACGTCAATTTTGAGGTCATAAAAAATTTTTGAAAATCAATTTTTTTTATTTGAACAACGATCTATGATAAATAGTGTTTAAACTAGGGTTCGGAAAATTCGGGTATATTCACCACGCGGGTATATACCCCGGTATATTCCCGGGTATATACCCGAAATCTCGGGTATTAGCAATCCAATATTTGGCAGTCAGATTTACTATAGAATTTTTTCCCGTTTATTTCCCGACTCCGGTCAAGTAAACTTCAACATTAGAACCAAGTTTTGAGAGGCAAAGAACAAATTATGACAAAATGTCAACATTTATTGACTTTTTCTGACAAAACTCGACTTTTTTACATTTTTTTGAGTCCAAAAGTACTTTGAATATACCCATAAATACCCGAAAATTCCCGGCCTCTCGGGTATTTGGGTATATACCCCGTCCGAACCCTAGTTTACACCTTCAAATAAAATTAAAAATTCAAAATTTTTGATTAATTTTTATTCACATATTTTTGCAAAATTTTTTTTTATATTGTTTTAGTTTAAATTTTTTTAAATTCCTTGACATTTCCCCAAAATTCCAGCGGAATTCAAAAATTTATTGCTCAATTATACAACATTTTAATGCGAGCGGTTTAAACTTGCATCATCTCTCTCCGAACACCCTTCCCTTTTCTTTTGATCCGCATTGTTTTATGGCCACGATGAAATTGGCTAATTAAGCGGACATTTGAGGATAAAGGATGGGGAAAGGTGGGGGTGGGAGTCGGTTGACATTTCTCTCGGACTTGAGAGGGTTGCTTTTGGTTGCAAAACGGGATCTTTGCGGATGAGGAGTGTCTGGGATGGGAGAATCAGCGAAGAATTTAAAGATGAAGTTCTCGGAATGCGACACTCAGATTTTGATGAGATTTGGCAAAAAATTTACAAGGAAAGGTGCGTTTATGGGGGCTCCTACTTTTTGTCGCGAGATATGTCAAAAAATCGGAAAAATTGTGCTGATCAAGGATATGTAAAAATTAGCTGCCCAATTCAGGTTTTTAGGGGTGAAAACTCAATTGGAAGTTGACTTAAAGTCCTATATAAACCCCTTTTCGCTTAATTTTTCACAAGTTTACAAAATTTATTTTGCCTTAAAATGATGTTTCTTGATTTTTAGGACGTAATAAATAAAGCTCAGCACAAAAATTTATTTTTCTGACCTTCAGGAGCCCTCATAAAAATATTTCCTTGTTCGATTAGCTCGGACATTCAAGAAACCCCTGGCTTTGCATAGACGTCTGAGATTTTTAGCTTAAAACTTTGTGAAAATATGATGATTGTTTTAGAATTTGCATAATTTTTGAGTTCGATTTCTAACGTAGAGGATAATTTTGCCAGCAAAATTCAATCTTTTTTTGCATGAAACTGGCAAAGATACGGCCTAAAAGTATTTTTCTCTCTCACCGTTCTCCGCATTTTGCATACTCTGTCGGCGGCAAAGACGTTGAATATTTCGGCGTCTATTAGGGTGGTCCAAAAGTCTTTTCGTTTTTTCAGGTGTCTTTTTGTCCAATTGTTTTTGTACAAAATAAAGACTTTTAGATGAATGTATTATATATGTTTTTAAAGGTCTTGAGCTGCTTTATCATAATATATATTAAAAATTTTAATTGGTCTTTTATTTAAAATCTTTTAAGCTGTAGAAAAAACATGGAAAAATCCGAAATTCGTGTTTTTTTACGTTATTACCGAAAACAAGGCTTCAACGCAACTGCAGCAGCAAAGAAGATAAGCGAAGTTGAAGGCTACAATGTGGTCTCAGATCGTACTGCGCGATTGGTTCAAGCGATTCAACGACGGCGACACGGACCTCGAGGGCAAGACGTCTTAAAAAGCAATTTTGAAGGCGTAATTCACTTCGACTTCGTTCCAAATGGTCGGACTAGCGACGCAGAGCTCTACTACGCTCCACTCGATCGAATGTATGCAGCGATTGGCAAAAAATATCCCGCTTTGATCAAACGAACCCGCGCACCCCTGCAACAAGACAACGCAAAACCTCGCACCGCCAAACAAACGAAGGAAAAGATCAAAACTCTCGACGCCATTGAACTTCTTCCAGATCCAGCGAATAGTCTGCACATTGTGTCACACGACTATCACCTTTTTCGCTCCATGGCACACTTTCTGCGTGGTCGTAGCCTCAATGATCTGGACGATGTCGAAAACGGGTGCCGCGAGTTTTTCGCCTCTAAGAACAAGGAGTGGTACCGCAGCGGGATCGAACAACTTGCCGATAGATGGGTTCAAGCCATAGATTCAAATGGCCTTTACTTCGAAACTTAACTAGTTTTCGTTTGTTGTAAAATTATGTTTAAAGTTTTAACAAAAAAAACGAAAAGACTTTTGGACCACCCTAATAAAACACCTACTATCACGCATTGTATGTGTCTTTCAGCCTTCGAAACTTCTCTTCATTTATTAATATTTAGCCGTCTTTGCCGAGATCCCAGTATGTATCTTCCATTACCTATTGATGACTTTATTAATAATATGACATCACTTTTCCAAACCCCTTAACTCTTCGGAAATTCACGTTGGTTCCTCTTTTCTTTCGTCCCTTTCACCGGAAGTATGAAGATGATTTGCATAATTTCAATTTTCTCATGTTCCAAACCCCTAAAGCAGAACTAAAATTAACGGCTTACGAAGCTCCGGAAGCGCCGGTTATTTTTAAGACCGGCTCAAGAACTTTTGAGCTGCTTAACGAGATTTTTGAATCCACTAATTTAAGTTTTTTGTCTTCCGGATAATCACTTCAATTTCTCGCGTTACCAAATTATAATCTTGGTGAAATTAGGCCACAAAAATTTGCCATGCCCAACCGAAATTCGGCAATTCCCCTGCTGGGTGAGACCATCATCCCGGAGACGGCGTTGGACGGGTTTTTGTGCAACCCGAAACACTTTCATTCGTCCTCTTCCACTATCCATGAGAAGCAAAGGATCACGTTCCGAGGGCTGGCGTGGCGGCAGATCTTCATCAAACATTTGGAGAGCATCAGTAAGTCCGTAGGACTGCTTGGAAATGACTTGGCGGGCTAGAAAGTGCAGTGGCTTCAGAAGAGAAGGCTTGATAAAAAATTGAAATTTCTTACGAGTCAACTGGTCGATTTTCTTGACTCTTGACACAGCTCATCTATTTGACTTACTTATCAATTCTTGAAAATCTTAGATCGCACATTACAAAGGTATCTGGGAGATATGTAGGAGATTCCCCACTGTGCTTTTTAGCTATACTGCTGCTGTCTCGGAGGTCTTACAAAGTACAAAGGTATGGTCTTTGTGAATTGGTATTTGGACTAGCAAGTACCCAAATGCGATGCTCAGATTACATTTTCTTTTTGCTCATAGCCCATAAAAATTTCTAAATTTTTAGCTCGCCTTTTCCCGAGATATCAAGTGATCTTGCCGAGAGAATTCGCGAAATGCGGTGAGCTCTCGGCTAGAACACCCTCCAAAATTCACTAAACAGTGTTTCATTTTTTCCAACTTTTGATATAAAATCCTCGTTTATTTCTGCAAAGTGCGAACTAGAAGTCTTGCATATGCCTTATAAAAGATCAATCTAACAGGGGAAGTACTCCAAGTGCGACTCTCAGATTTTGATGAAACTCGGCACAAATTTAGAATAATTTTTTCTAAGATATATGCGAGAATCCTAGCTCGCGCTTTGCAGAATCAACCAAAATTTTTAGATCGGAAGTCGGCCAAAATTTAGGATTTTTTGCCGAATTTTAGCACGAAAAGTTTCATGCCTATTTTTACCGAAAAGAATAATGTTCCTACAAAAAATCAAATTTTTCCGCACGAAACTGCCAAAGTTATGGCCAAAACGCGATTTCCTTTCTGACCGCTCTCCACGTTTAGCGTGCTCTCTCGGCGGCAAAAATCGTTCGATATCTCGGCGGCGCCCGCAAAGCGCGAACTAAAACTTTCAGGAATTGATATTTAGTCCATGCCTGGCGTGTGTGCAAAATTTTAAAAAAATCTGAGCGTCGCACTTGGAGTACTTCCCCTGTAAATTTGCGCCTAGTTTTATCAAAATCTGAGACTCGAACTTTGAGTACCGCTCCTGTACAGTAAGGAGAATATTCATGCAAAATTTGGTGAACATACGATCATGGTATCTTAAGCAATCTGCCTATTATCCTAGATATCTTTAATTACCTCCAATTTACCTCTAATTTTCTAATCACCGTTTTTTTCAAGGTCTTCGAGAACCCAATAATCTCGCTGAAATGAGATTAATTTTGATTTCTTAAAGCGTTCCAAGAATTAGTAATTCCAAAATTTATTTTTTCATAATTTCCGGAAAGTAATTCCTCCTGCTTAATTGGCCAAATCAGCCGATGGATTGGCAATTTTTCCCAGCTTTTCAGACAAGTAAAAAACGAGGTAATGAAGGGATTTCCCGAGAAATCTCCGACTTCCTGCACTTACTTTATTATTTTGTTATCCGAATGTTCTTCCATTTTTGAGATTTTTCGACTTCTTTCGACTCTAAAATCACATTACTTTCTAATAACATTACAATGTCATCCTAACATAAGCTAAATTTTGATTTTTTCTAACTGCAGTCGATTTTTTGGTCGATTTTTTTGCTTGAAAATGAAGAATTGGATGCTACGAATTTTGTTTTTCGAATTCAGCCTTCTGAAAAGAGGTAGGTGCAGAAGATGTAAACCAAAAAAAATGTATTTGAAGTAAAAATTTTTGCGTGTAAAAAATTTGCGTTACCAGGGGAACTACCCCAAGTGCAACGCTCAGATTGTGATGAAACTTGGCACAAATTAAGAGCAATTTTTTCTAAAATATATGCGAGAATCCTAGTTCGCGCTTTGCAGAAACAACCGAGATTTTTGGACCGAAAGTCGGCGAAAATTTAGGACTTTTTGCCGAATTTCGGCACGAAAAGTTTCATGCCTATTTCTACTATAGAGGGCAATATTTCCACAAAAAAATTTTTTTTTCTGCACGAAACCAGCAAAGTTATGATCAAAAAAGTGTTTTTTCTCTGACTGCTCTCCGCGTTTAGCGTACTCTCTCAGCGGCAAAGATTGTTCAATATCTCGGCTGCGCTTGGAAAGCGCGAGCTAAAACTATCAGGAATTGATGCTTAGTTCATGACCAACGTGTGTGCAAAATTTAAAGAAAATCTGAGCGTCGCACTTGGACTACTCACCTTGTAAGTTGTTCCGGGTCCCCTGCTATAATCTTTACTCTTTTGGCCTTAAAAATCTAAAATGCTATTATCAATACTACGACACAAATCCGCCACCACTTTTCACGACGACTAAAGCCATCCAAAATACAGTAAGACCTGCGGCTAAATCCCCCCGAGACAAGGGTTTTTATTTTTCCGATGAAGCTGGCTGCTCATTGCGTTATTAGTGGCAGGTAGGGGTTTTTTTGTATTTCGGCCATCGTTATATCGGATTAGCCGAAGGCATAAGGATGTGAAGATTAAAGCGCCGCAGGTCCTGCCTTCGTACTGCGGCTGAGGTCTTTGGTTGTACAATTTCAAAGGGTTTTTTGGAGCTGTTAGGTCGAATTTTACGTGTCAAACTCCAAAAAGAGCTTGCTTGGGGGATTCGGGGGTTTGCTATGTTCAGTTTTGTCTTATATAGCGATTTTGAAAATTTTTATTTGTTTTACATTTTGCACTGTGCAAAAAATTGGCTTCACCGCACAGTGCAAGGCGATTTTAAGCCTATTTTGCGCCTTGCACGGTGCAGAAATCAGGTTTGTCTGCACGGTGCAAAAAATAACCAAAAAAAATTTTGTCAAATTTTTTATAACTCAAAAATTTTTTTTATTTTTTAAAGTTCTGCACTGTGCCAAAAATCCTCCTTACTGCACTGTGCATCCCAAATTTTTAGCCTATTTTTGCCAATGCCCACTGCCAAAGTCCCTTTCGTTTGCACCGTGCGCTTTTGCCAATACCGAAATTTTGCATTAAGATCTTGTTGACCTTTTTCTGAACGCTTTTCTTTGAAGTACTACTCGAATGCGGCCACTTTCCATCTGTTTACGGCTTGAATCCGTTAATAAGGTCATTAGGCATCGAAATAAGGGTTGATTTCGAATTCCTTTGCTCCCTAATTGTGGCCAGATGTTTTCCGTAGGTGTTTTTACGGAATTTTTGGACCTTTTGGCGCTCCGAATTTGAATTGGGATGTTTTAAATTTCGAATACGAACTTTCTGAATTGAACAAGTTTTTTTTGAATTTTTCGTCAAAAAATTGGACCGTATTTTAGGAAATAGAATTTTTTTTTCTTGAATTTTGATTTAAGAGCTTGATAGTCTGTTTACTGCTCAAGATTGGCCTTATTTTTAGCTTCCTTGGCAATTTGACGAAATGCCACAAAAATTATTGGCTTTTAAAGCCATTAAAATTTTTTGAAATTTGTTGCTAAAAGCATGCAAAATAAGTTCATCATCATTTTCCAGCGATTTTCATTTTTGTCACGAAATGTCACAAAATTTATTGATTTTTTTTCGTCATCAAAAGACGTACTTTGAGACAATAATAATGCATTATTTATGTCATTGAATCATCATTTATAACTCTGATCCCTCTTTTGTCTCCGAAAATTCGTCTAGTTCCCATCGACGCCATCTTCGGGATTATCCCCGCTCTTCTTCCTCTTTCCCAACACTTTCTTTCACGTTTATATTGTAATGCCAATTACCAGAATCCCTCGGAATAGAAGGAAAAACAAGATGTTTCGTTCGCATTTACATTCCTTTTCGCATACGTGATGTGAATGACATCAACTCTTACACAAAGATTTCATCATTCCGTATCATGAGCTAGAACCCAAAGTAGAATGCCTCAGGCGATGTTTACACATTCCATGACGGGTGGAAAATCCCATGAGAACACGATTAAAAGAATGAGAAGTTTTGAGCATAAAGTTTTGTTGCCTCAGGGTAATTAAGAAAGGGAAATCCCGTTAGAGCGATAAAACATATTTATAACTACCAAAGGTTGTGAAAGGTGATTGCAAAATTTCTGGAGGTCATTGTGAGTACATATAGGGCGAAAGTTCAAGCGAATGCCCGTTATTTTCCCGACAGACTGACACTAATTCGCGGGTATAAAGCTTCTACTGCATAGATTTTTTTTTTGATTTTTCATCAAGATGCATATGTGGACCAAAATGAAATTTTCAAAAAACTTCTTTTTATTTTTTTCACTACAAAGAATTGATTTTTTTCGCAAAAAATGCTGAACTTTTTGTGAGAAACGCCTAAAATCGCGATCTGTTTCTTGCCCTCTGTATACATGCTCTTTATGCTCCCGTGAAATGCCGTAAATGTCAGTGACTAACCATCAACATGACGTATAATCCGTGGATGAGCTGGAACCCCATAAAAGATGTATGGACACATATATCATGCAGGTCTTTGGAGGTCCTAGTGGTTTATTGTTTTACAGGCTTCGTTTTTTTGGGTTTGAAAAAAAATTGATCTGGGGATTCTGGGGAGGGACGCTCAAGTATTCTTCAAATTTTGTTTACTCGTAGTGCCTTGGACTGATATTAATTCTGGAAAATTTTGGCTTTTACTTTGTATGTGTGGCCAAGATATATAACGATATTCAACCATAAGTTTTCCCCAGCCGTCTCTCCTCGTTTTTCATACTCTCTCGCCTGCATAGACCGTTGATTACGTTTTTTGCAAAGCTTCAGCTAAAAAACTTGGGACCTACTTTGTGGCTTACATAGCGTCAAAAAAATCTAATCCTTTCCTCAATTACTTTACAGAACATTTGATCACAAAGCATAGCAAAAACCCGGAAAATATAAAGTATTCGCTGTATTTGAGCTGCTCATTTATAGTAAAACAATACATTTGAGACACGATCTGGCCCTTTAATTTTCCAGACCTCCCTTTTGGAACGTCCCAATTGTAATCCGAGCATCCAGAACTTTCCCTCGACAGAAAACTTTCCGGCTTTTCCAATTATTTCTCTCCCAATTTTTGGGGCAAACACCGGGCCTCCGTTGCGTCGAAGATAAACGGATAAAGCCGGGAT